CAGTCAAAGCTGTCAATATTCCTGTGCTCACATTAATCAGAAGAAAAAATATGTTAAGAAAATGTTATAATTGTTTACTCCATTTCTTATCCTTAATCAATTTCTCGATTCTCTGCTCTTTTTTTTTCCCTCCTCTCACTGAACAGGCCAAGTTTTTGTACGGGAGCAAGTTTACCCCTGAGGAACGACAGGATATGAAACTCATGATCCAGAGCAATATGTACAAGTATCTCAGTATCCTGCTTGATGCTCGAGAACGTTTTGAGGAGGAAGATTTATTAGAGAGAAGAAGGCAAGCTTCTGACGAAGAAGCTGCTGAAGCAGGTATCATATCAAACAAAGAACTCTTCGGAAATTATGTCTTAGGTTATCTCAGTAATAGGTTTTCAATAAATGATGAAACTTTGGTTTTTTGCTTCCATAAGAGTTTGCTTTTCTACCTTTTTTTCTTTTCTTTTCTTTTCTCAAAGTCCTACCTATTTGGGTATTTGAATATGGTCTTTGTATTATTGCTGTATGAAGCGAAAAATATGACAAAAACTTGATTTTTTATGGTTCAGTAACTATTGTTAGTACTGTTATTACAAAAAATTCATTTTGTACTGCTTTCACTTCATTTCGTGATTTGGTTTCTTTAAGTTTTTGCAGAAGTAAATAACCATTGCATTTTCTCTCAACCCAAGATTGAAGCACTTTTCTGACTGGCTGCTCGACATAATTGCCACTGGGGATTTGGATGCATTTTTCCCAGCAGCAACACGCGAATATGCCCCGCTTGTTGAGGAAGTATGGAAAGATCCTGCTATTCAGGAGACTTATAAGAGAAAGAATGAACTCCACTTTCTTCCAGACGTAACCGAGTACTTCTTGAGCAGGGTATATTCTTCATCACTTTAAAGCTGAGTGTTTTAGTGTAATTGAGAGAGAGAGGGCTTGTGTGATATTGCTTCTGCGTTATCTTCGAATAATATATTATCTGGTCTTCTTGAAAGCTTAATCAAATTCGATTCAGTTACCAAATCTTTTTTTTTTTTTTGGGTCTCACAGGCAGTTGAAATATCGAGCAACGAGTATGAACCTTCAGACAAAGATATACTGTTTGCTGAAGGGGTGACTCAAGGTAATGGGCTTGCTTTTATGGAGTTCTCATTGGACGATCGAAGCCCAATGTTAGAAACTTACACAGAAATATGGAATCTGGGCCCCCACCTCTCACCAAGTAAGTTTTCCTTGCCAGAAAGAAATATTGTCGGCTCCAAAGGAAAAATTTCAACTCTTGAAATTGGATATGGAAATTATGGTTTAGTTTAGTTTGTTCTAAAATAAAAATAAAAATAAAAAAATTGTTCATTTCACAAATAAGGTACCAGCTGATCCGAGTAAACACCAAGGGCATGAACGAGGGTTGCAAGTGGGTCGAGATGCTCGAGGATGTTCGTGTGGTCGTCTTCTGCGTGGCCCTCAGCGATTATGATCAGGTGTGGGTGTCTTTAGACGCTTCCCGTGAGCCCCACCTCACGAACCGTATGATTCAAAGCAAGGACTTCTTCGAGTCCATGGTCAAGCACCCGTGCTTTAAGGACACCCCATTTGTCCTCGTCCTCAACAAGTATGATTTGTTCGAGGAAAAAGTCAACCGGGCCCCGCTCGGGAAATGCCATTGGTTCAGTGACTTCAGCCCGGTCAGGCCCCACCACAACACACAGTCCCTGGCCCAACAGGCCTACTTTTACGTGGCCATGCGGTTTAAGGACCTTTACGCTTCCTTAACTGGTCGGAAGCTTTTCGTCTGGCAGACACGGGCCCGAGAGAGGCCCACAGTGGACGAGGCCTTCAAATACATACGAGAGGTCGTGAGGTGGGACGAGTAGAAGGAGGATATGTACTATGCAGCC